CCACTTAGGGAGGGAGTTCACTGAGGACACCTCACCCAGTGGCCACCCCCTCCCAAAATCTGGAGCTGACAATGAAAGCATTTCTCAAATATGGGTGCAACACCACAGAGGCCCTACTGGACAATACAGTTCTGTTTATCATAGGGGTGGGAAACCTCAGCTCTATTACTGAATGTGGCCTTCCACCCCACTCTTGTCTGGCCCTTGAACACCCCAGTTTAGGGCTTTTTAGGTTTCGTTTTTAAATTTTTTTAATGCGTTTTAAGCATAAAGAATGTCACTGATTGCTACCTGCTCCTGCTGCTGATGGCTTGATTGCTTGATTTAGGAGTTTGTTCTTTGTATGTTTTAAACTGCTTCTTGTTGCCTAGGAAATACAGGTGGATGTTGGTGTAAGGGGGGGGGAATATATAGGAAGGAGAAATATTGGATGCCAAGACCCAAGTTTGGGGAAAGTACCCTTTGGTGAGAGAATCCCAGCAGAGATTTAAAATCACAAAACATGCAGCAAAGTGTGGAAATATAGGCTTCTAGATCTTTGAAAATACGCCCTTATAAGTTCCAAAACTTCCATCTTCCCCCAGCATAGGAAAAGACCACACATTTGGTAAGTTAAAATTTTAGATACAAACTCTTGAGAGGTCAGGTTCATGTGCATTTTCTTACATCAGTCAGAAAAGTTGCATAGGGAGTAAAACTTGGCTTTGTTGCAAAGTGGTGAAAGTTCCTAAATTATTGGTACAGGAACTCAAGAGAGGCTTGTAAGCCTCTTCACACTGGGAAAAACAATAGACTTGATTACCCATTTCTTCCCAAAGTAAGGGAAGTGGACATAGCTAAGCCTGGCAGGCCAGCTTACTCTATGGTATTAACCCCTTCGTGCATTAATTATATTAAGCATGTTGGTTACATGAGGCTGGCTATCCCATAGTGGACAGGTGGGTTATCAGTACTTTAAATAAACAACACAGCCAGACTGCACAGCTTTGCATTTAACATGCAGGCATTTTAACAATTCAAATAGCACCAGAAAATTACCAGGGGAGGGGTGCTAATAATTATTGGCATCACATCAGGCAAGGAAGGGAACTTTAACTCTTTTCTCCTCAGCTGTGGTTCTGAGGAAAACCCCTCCTTTTGAAGCAGGTATTTGCTTTGGACGTGCCAATGGAAGATTTCCTTCTGATGCAAACACAAGCTTCAGGGTTACTTGGCAAAAGGCTTACATTCTCCGTCCATGCATGCTGTGATCCTTATAATTCTCAGCTGCCTCCCAATTGAGGCTATCTGTATCCTTAATCACTCGCACTTCAAACGCAAAGATGCATTTAACATCATATTGAATTCAGCTCCCAGCCTCCAAAAATCTGTGCAAAGGCCCTAGCAATTGTTCCTCTGTGACAGTTCTACTTGGAAGCTGTCCCCAGCCTTGATGCCAGCAGAACTGAAGCGGTTTTGGACTGTTGTTTCCCCCCATGGCATTATGTGATCCAAGAAGTGTGCTCCAGGATCGCTTGAGGTACAAATGGACTTGCCAGTATTTTTTTTAACCAAAAATAAAATCACTCTGTTCCTGTGTGGGCTTATCCACACTTACCTTTCTCCTCCATTCTTTCCAGGCAGGATCCATGCTTAAATAATTACCCTCACCGCTTTGCGACCAGGAGGGCAGCGAATGGGGGTGGTAGTTCAGAGCCTTTGTGTCACGGTCTGGTTCACGAGCAGTCGAAGTCCTGGCTGGGGACGCCGGGACCGAGGGCAAGATGGCAAGATGGCAGGGTGGGAGCAGGAACGGGAGTCCAGAAGCCAAGAGTCAGGAAGCCAAGAATCCAAGAGTCAGAGAGCCAGGAGTCAAGAAGCCAAGGGACCAAGGGCCAGGAAGCAAGGAGTCATGAAGTCAAGGGTCCAAGGATCAAGAAGCAAGGAGCCAAGGAGCCAAATGCAGCAAGGCAGGGAACGCGTTGCTGTGGCAAAGAGCCAAAGGGAAATGCTGACCTTATATCCCTTCCTGGCTCTTCCACCAGGTGCTTTGAGTTACCAAGTGGCCTCATCTGTGAGGCCACACCTTGCCTCTTCAGAACAAAGCCCCCAGGCCTGCAAAGTCCTACTGGTCTCAGGGCCTGGCTCCTGCACACACTCCTGACACTTTGTGGGTACCAGGGGAAGATGTCAAAGGCACCCTTGCACCCACAGTTGCCTCAATAGTGACCCTGAATTGTAGGGTTGTTGTTAAATGACATTTCCTCCAATTCAGTGGTAAAGATCAGGTTTTCCAGGGGGGAAGCATTGGGACAAGAAGATGAGCCCCAAGAGAGATAAGTGGTGGATGAAGGGGTTCAGGCTGATCTGGGTGCGTGGAAGAGGGAGGCTACAGATTCATCCAGCAATTCTGGCTGATTTGGGGCAGGAGGGAATGGACACTGCAAAAAGGAAAAGCACCGGCCCAGTTTCAATCAAAATGGAGCGCCGGGCAAGGGGAAAGAGAGTCAAATTGCTTCGTGAAGCAAACTTGTTGCGAAAGCAGGCGGCTCATTTGCAGTTGGCTCACGTCTCAAAGTCAATAGCTTGTCTGTGTCACAATGAAATTTCATTTTTAAAAACAACAGAGGCAGGAGTCTGGGTTAAGTACAATGGAAACATTCCTACCTGTTGCCCAGGAACAATTTCATCCGCTTCTTTGGGAGACAAATGGGGGCAACGGAGAAGAAAAATGGGCCAGTCTGTTGCTCAACAAGCTGTGGCTATTAAACTGTTTGCTTTGCTGTCACCAGCAAAGGGGCTGGTGGGGAATGTCGGAGGTGGTGTGCTTGTTCACACAAGAAAGAAGCAAAACCTCGACTCCTGCATCTTTATCATTTGCCTAGCTGCTAGCACTTTAAGTGCTGTCCAAAGGTACACACAAACACAAACGGGAGAATTGGCTGGGCCAAGAGATGTGTTGCTCTGGCTTTGTGGTATGACTGACACAGTCAAAGCACCCAATTCAGGCACCTCAGGGGATATGGTGGTCAGGCTGCTACCCGGAGTTCCTGTGCTACCTTCCAAAAATGGCAGTGCTGCAGGATATTATGGATCAGCAGCACCTACAGCCTTATTTATTCACCAGTTCTCTTACCCACCTGCTTCTTATGCCTATCAAGAGGGACGAAAGCTGAGTCCTGCTTGCACCTTCTCTGGTTTGCAATCTGGCAAGCTTAATATGGGGGTTTCTTAGGTCAAGAGAGGATTGTGTGTATCCAAACTGCCTGTCCAATTTCTTTTTTTTATATATTAAACTAGGATTTATTTGTTTTTACATTGAAAATGCAAGTACTCAAAGGAAAACTAGCAAATAAGCAAACAATAATTACACAATTAAAAAAAAATACACCAGATGTATGAGTAAACTTCAAATAACAATGATTTATTTTATAATCCAGAATGTCAGTCAAACTCTTACCAGTTTCTGCACCCATGTGTGAGCCACATTCGGTACCTAGGGCAGAGGTTTTCAACCTTTGTGAGTCCACTGCTCCCTTGACCAACTACATTATTTCTGCGGCACCCCTATGGGGCTCAGGAGCCCAGTTATGCCCCCTCTTCCCTGCAGAGCTGGCAGCCTCTCACCCTTTTTTGAACACCCTCCCTTGTGGAGTGTTCCCTCAGCAGCCTCCTCTCCTCTCCTCTCCCCTCTCCTTAGGAATCCTCTGGGCAGCCCATGTCTCTAAGCTGCCTTCCCTGCCCCAAAGAGAGGTGCCTCCTCACGCTGCCCCACAGGGGCCTGGGAAGCACCCCCTGGCCAGCCCCAGAGGCACCCTTCACCTGGGGATCTTGTAGCTAGGGCTGCTGAGACAAACAGCTGTGCAAGCCTTTGGGAGGCAGAGACACAAGAGGACATCAGAGGAGGGAGGGAAAGAGGGACAGAGGCCAGTGTTTCCCACGGCACCAACATCCAAGGCACCCCAGGGTACCACGGCACACTGGTTGAAAACCACTGACCAGGGGGAACTGAGTGCATGGCTTTTATAAGAGTGGAAATGTGTTGTCTCTGCATCATTTTCCACAATTTGTTTCCCATGGTTTAGAGTAAGATATCCAATGCTGCAACAGAGGACACGGAGTCTTTGTAAACCTCATGCATCTGAATGGAACAGGCTTGCCAATGTTTGGTCTGGAAGGGTGCATTGGTGCTTTTAATAGCTGCGTCTTACTCATGAGAGCAGCAATAATTGCTGTAGCCCTCGCTGCCAACACAACCATTAAAGAGACATGAACAGCCTTCTTTGGGTTTGCTGCTGCCAGGTTTTCCGCAGATGATGCTTACATCAGATTTTCCACTTCCCCACATGTTTAAGCTGAATAATAAAGTGACATTGATTAGAATGAATGCCAGGTTTCCCCATCTCTCTCAACCCCGCCCCCCCCTTTTCACTTGCTGCCATGCATAACAATGATTGAAGCGATATATTATGGATTAAAAGCTGTTTTTAGGGCCTTTCCAAATGGCAACAAGCTCCCTGGATTATTATTGTTTATTTTAGGCCTGGCCCTGATCCCATGCAGTCATGCAATACCCTGTCTGGTGTCTCCAAGAGATGGACAGGAACAACGACAGCCTTCCTACAGGAGGGCTATCTGCTCAGTGCTGTTTTGGTTTTGTGCAATAGGAGAGAAGTGCTGTTCATTACGGAAAGACTGTGCAGCCCTTGATGAAAGTTTTAGGAAAGAGAACCGGAGGAAAGAAAGGGAAGTGCTGTTTGGCCAAGGCATAAATGATTGGTTTGTGGGATCCATGCTGGAGTGGAAGAAACTCTTATATAACTTGTCAACGAGAGGTATTTTCAGAACGTTCAGTTGGTCTTTATGGAAATTCTCCCTGGAGTTGTACTCACTACTGGGTAGATAATAGGCACACAGGAATCAGCACCTTAAACACTTGGGCCCCACCCACCGTCACTGTGCACAAGCTGCCCAAAGTTCCCACAATGCCCTGGAGTGGAAGCATTGTGGGAAATGGGAAATGGTGGCTGATATCTGCCCATACTTCTGCCCCTAGGGAAGTCTGCAGCTGGGGGCCCACCAGTGGACACTTTGCTGAGGGCCCCCTCAAATTTTGAGCTGACCCTGACAAAGAGAAATGCAGCTCACCAGGGGAAATAGCAAACATTGCCTAACGCTTTGATGGATCGTGACCCAGGCATCATTTATGGAAAACAAGCGCTCGATTGCAGAGGTGAAATCTGAGTGAGTCAGAGGATTCCGCAGTGCACTTTGCCTGGTGTAGGTGTGAAAGCACGCAGCTCTCCTTGATTACTTAGCAAATGCTAGAAACCAATATATGCAAATTCATGTGTCTGACGTGAGGTTTGATCATTTTCTTTGTGTGCAAACAACGTTTGTCACATGGGCAAAGCTCACGAAGAGATTTTTTTTCCTGCTCTCTTTCAAAGGCTGTCAGCTTATTATATAAAAATTAATTATGCTGTGTTTACAATTGCTGAAGGAAGGCCAGGAATTTTCCTCCATTACTACCAAATGTCACTGAGTGGGCAGAGGGTATACTGGCTTCTAAATAATGAAAGTATGGATACAGGCACGCACACAAAATCCCACACATTTAGGAAAAGATTTGAGAGGAAGGAAATACCCCCTTTGTGGCATGAATATCTTCCACTGCATTCCAGGCAATTAAGACAAAGTGGTGGGGGTCAGGGGGCAGAGATCAGAGGGATGAGTTTCAGAGAAGCCTTGCAAATTAATAACATTCTCGAAATCAATACAGTTAAACCAACCAGTCCCCAAAACGGATATATTCAAGCATAATGCAATGGGATGGATTATCACTAGCAAGTAATCTAATGCCAAAATAACTGCAGCTGAACAAACAAAACAGCAGCCATAAAACAGGGCAGTAAAAGAGGATATTAGCTACATGTATATTAACTGTAAAGTACCTATTACATGAAAAAGCAGGCGGGGGGAGGGGGTTCAGTGGAATAAATGGCTGTTTGGGTAGTGGCTAATCCCATTGTTCCTCCTGGGTGGGATGCAGAGAGAGACCTGTGGTTTTCTGTTCTTTGCACATTTATAATGCCAGTTTATTAGTGCTGAGGATAATTACAAGTCTTGGCCACCGAAATGACAGATGCATGTGAAGGTATCTGGAAGTGGTTGCATGCCGAACATGTACATGCCAAACTGTTGGTTTGAATGCTGAACTGCAGCTGTTTGTGTTTCATTATTTATCGTGTTTGTACCATTCCTGACCTGCAAAGATTTCAAGGAAACAGGCATAGCTTATCCCACTTTATCCTTGCAGCGAGCCTATGAAGTCAGCTGGGCTGAGAAATTATGAGATGCCCACCGTTGCTGAGAGCACTTGGTGGTTAGGCAGAGATCTGAATCGAAATTTCTCTGGAAAGTAGATGTCTTCTGGTCCCCGCATATCAATTCTTACCAAGCCGTGAGTCATATTATGCATCTTACGCATGTGTGAGTAATGCATAGTTGTGCGTGTGTTTGTAAGTCCTGCTTCGTTCAATTGGATTTACTCTCAAGTAAAACAACAACAGAGTCTTGTGTGAATTCTTTTGCATAGAGACTGTCCCATTTCTCCTATACAGAAAGGTATTGCTGGTAGATGATGGCATATATCACTTTGGAAGATGGTGAATGAAACCCCAGATGTTCTGGATGACATAGCATCATCCATAGTATCATGACATTGATGTCCCGTAATAGTATTGTCATAAAAGATAGATGTGTGTCTCTGTGTGGTGCATATGTTTGTCTACCTTTCTGTCTCCCTGTCTACTCTCTTGGACTACTGCAATGCACTCTACGTGGGGCTACCTTTGATGGTGACCCGGAATCTACAACTAATCCAGAATGCGGCAGCTAGACTGGTGACTGGGGGTGGCCACCGAGACCATATAACACCGGTCCTGAAAGACCTATATACTGGCTCCCAGTACGTTTCTTAGCACAATTCAAAGTGTTGGTGTTGACCTTTAAAGCCCTAAATGGCCTCGGTCCAGTATACCTGAAGGTGCGTCTCCACCCCCATCGTTCTGCCTGGACACTGAGGTCCAGCGCCGAGGGCCTTCTGGCGGTTCCCTCACTGTGAGAAGCTAAGTTACAGGGAACCAGGCAGAGGGCCTTCTTGGTAGTGGCACCCACCCTGTGGAACGCCCTCCCATCAGATGTCAAAGAGATAAACAACTACCTGACATTTAGAAGACATCTGAAGGCAGCCCTGTTCAGGGAAGTTTTTTAATGTGTGATATTTTAATGTATTTTTGATCTTTGTTGGAAGCCACCCAGAGTGGCTGGGGAGACTCAGCCAGATGGGTGTGGTACAAATAATAAATTAAAATTACTATTACTATTACTATTACTACTGACCTGCACAGGAGGGCACTTTATGCACCCAGAGTCACTACACTAGCATTTGTTTGTTTGTTTGTTTTTCATTTATATCCCACCTCTCCCCCCAGGAGCTCAAAGTGGCACAAACAGATCTCCCCTTTCCCATTTTATTCCTCAAAACAACCCTGTGAGGTAGATTAGGCTGAGAGATTAGGCTCCTAAAATTTGCAGATGGCGCTGGGAGAGGAAGCCTTGAATCAGGATTCAAGATGACCTGCACAGATTGGAGAACTGGGCCAAAACTAACAAAATGAATTTCAACAGGGGCAAATTTGCAAGGTTCTTCCCTTGGGAAGGAAGAACCAGCTACACAAATATAAGATGGGGGGGGGCACCTGGCTTGCCAGTAGTACACGTGAAAAGGATCTAGGAGTCTTGGTGGACCACCAGCTGAACATGAGTCAACAGTGTGATGCAGCAGCAAAAAACCACAGCAAATGCTATTCTAGGCTGCATCAACAGAAGCATAGTGTCCAGATCAAGGGAAGTCATAGTCCTACTTTATTCTGCTTTGGTTAGACCACACCTGGAATGCTGTGTCCAGTTCTGGGTGCTATAAGTTAAGAAAGATATTGACAAGCTGGAATGTGTGCAGAGGAGGGCAGCCAAGATGATCAAGGGTCTGGAAACCAAGACTACAAGGAACAGTTGAGATACTTGGGTATGTTTAGCCTGAAAAAGAGAAGACTGAGGGGAGATATGATAGCCATCTTCAAATATCTGAAGGGCTGTCACATGGAAGATGGAACAAACTTGTTTTCTCCTGCTCTGGAGGGTAGGACCCAAACCAATGGCTTCATGTTACAAGAAAGGAGATTCCAACTAAACATGCGGGGGGAAACTTTCTGACAGTAAGAGCTTTTTTGACAGCAGAACAGACTCCCTCAAGAGGTGGTTGAGCAAGGTAGGCACGTGGAGGTAAGGTGCAGGGAGAAACCTTGTTGATTAGCTTAAAATATATGATCCAGCAAAGTCTTAGGCTGTTTCCATTCTGTAGTGAAATGTAGCTCCCAATCTGACTTGGATGAATGGATGATGTCAAGTATCTGCAAGCCATTGTACCTTTCAGACATTGACTCCAACTCCCTTACAGTCCCAGCCAGCATGGGCAATGGTCAGGGTCGTTGGCAGCTGGAGCTTCATCTGAAGGGCATATGGCGAGTCCCGCTGATCTATCCTTTGAAGGCAGGTTCTGCGTAGCAATGTTCTATTTGCTTTTATTTGTTTTGTAAAATGTGTGTTAATCGAAAGAGGCAGCTCCTCCCTTGCTTCTCATAAGGGGCAATGCTATTTTCCAAACTGAATGACAGCAAGCCCTCTGGAAAAATCAATGCAGCTTAAGGTTGGAGCAGCAAGAGGTCATGATGTAGCAAGAAAACAAATCAGTGTCATGAGATCCCTTTCTTTAAAAAAAATAAATCGCTAATAAAGATTTGCTGGGTTACTTTGCTCTTTCGTGAACATGTTACCTGAAAATACAGTGGAGACAATCCTGCCTGTCCACTTTTCACTTCCAGCTCCATTAGCACAATGCCCCAAATCTAAAAACTGGCAGTGAATGTTCAGCAAAGGGCCATACCTCCTTGGTTGTGCACATGCGTTGAATACCAAAGATTCCAGGTTCAATCCTTGGTGTCTCCAAATAGGGCTGGGAAGGACTCTGGTCTGAAGTTTTGGAGAGCTGCTGCCTTTCAGAGAGGAGGCTGAACTAGGTAGGATCAACACTCTCAGTCAGCAGGAAACAGTTTCCTGTGTTCCATCATCATCATCATCATCTCAAACCTTTTCAGTTTGGGTTCAGGCCAAGTTACAGGACTGAGTCAGCCTTGGTCCCCTCTACTGTCCCTCCTCCTTCAGAGAAGGAGGGGACAACGACAATGCAACCCTGTTGATCTTTTGATACCCTGGGATCCTTCTGAGCCAATTTAGCGGGATGAGTCTTGGAGGCCCTGTTTCCAGGGTCAGTTTCAGAGATGGGGTGATTGTCTTTTGGCCCCCTGGTCATTGTGCTATGGGGGTGCCACAAAGCATCAGCGTCCCCAGTGCTAATTAACATCTACCTTGGTTCCCGAACGGCTTGGTTCCCGAATGGCTTGGCTCCCGAACATCGCAAACCCACTATGTGGGTGGGTAATTTCCAAGTCTAGATAATTGTGCAGTTCCCAGCTTTGGATGGGGTCATGCTCCCCTTGAAAGAGCAGCTTTGTAGTTGGGGATGGGGTGCTCTAGGATCCATTTTTGTCACTAGAGGTTCAAGTGACCCCAGTAGCTAGGAGTGTCTTCTACCAGCTTCAGCTAGCAAGACAGCTGTGACCATTTCTAGACTGGGATAGCCTGACCACTGTCACTGATGTGCTGGTAACCTCCAGGCTGGACTAGTGCAATGAGCTCTCTGTGGGGCTGGCCTTGAGGTTGGTCTGGGAGTTGGTGCAAAATGCAACAGCTCAAGGACACACTGGGGCAAGATATTGCCAACACACTTTCCCACTGTTGAAATAATTGCACTAGCTGCCAATTAAGTTCAGTTTAAGGTGCTGGTTTTGGTGCATAAAGCCCTGCATGACTTGGGGCCAGGATACCTGAAAGATCATCTCACCCCTTATATACCCATTCTTGACAATGGGGCCTTTAGTGTTGAGACACCTGCCCGTTGGAATGCCCTCTCTTTGAATATTAGGCAGCTGCCATCTCTGTTGTCTTCTTGGTGCCTGCAGATGACCTTCCTCTTCCAACAAGTCTTCTAAGTTGATATCTTTCCCATCTGTATTGGGGAATACAGATTTAACTGTTTTAAATTCTTTTTTTTTATTGTCTTATCACTTGCTGCTTGCCACCCACGGCTCCTTTGGGAGGAAAGGTGGGATATAAATTTAATGAAATAAAATCATCATCATACATAGCTCAGTCGGTAGAGCATGAGACTCTTAATTTCAGGATTGTGGGTTTGAGCCCCGTGTTGGGCAAAGGATTCTTGCATTCCAGGGGGTTGGACGAGATGACCCTTGGCATTCCTTCCAACTTTATAATTCTATGATTCTATCATCATCATCATCATCATCATCATCATCATCATCATCCTATTGTAACTGACAAGTACTATATCAGGATGCCACTGAGATAACATGGGAACAGTTGGTGCACCGCTGCAGCTCTACACATCTAGCATTTATATGAAGAGTTCAACCCATCTCTCGTACACTGTCACAAGCTTTTATTGCACAGAGCCAAAGACCACTGCAAAGCTCACATCCTCCAGTCATATCACAAATAGATAATTTACAAAATAAAGTGTGCATTGACAGCATGCATAAAAATCCATCATAAACAAAATCCATATTTTCCTGCACATCAAACTTAGCTCAGCTAGAAGTGTTAACAAAATGATTAAAATCCATTAAAATCATTATCAGAATAAATTAAAGAGCACAATTTCCCAACAGCTGCATCACACTGTTGATTCATGTTAAGCTTGTGGTCTACTAAGACCCCCTAGATCCTTTTCACATGTACTGTAAGTAGACTTACTGATGGAGGGAACAGGGGGCATGGAGAGTGTTGGGTCCCCAAAAACTTGAAGCTGACTGTTGGGGGGGGGTTGGTGCCAACTCAAAACCTCAGTGCTTACCAGAGTCTTGAGTGGCTTATAACCATTTTATGCTCAGGGTACCTGTTGATGGTAAAGTTATATAATTCTACCTTGCCATTCATTCTTTTAAATCTTCCTTGATTCAGGCGTTTCTTATTGTTTTACATTATACAGCCTCATAGTCAGCATTGCTTGGGAATTCTAGGAAACCCAAAAAATTTGCAGAGTTTTAAAATCAGTGCAGTTTTTAAAGGTACAGTCTGACATCTTGAGTCAAAATGACAGCCAGTTGTATCCAAACAAACACAGAAACCTGCTTCTTGGTCTCAGGAACCAACCATCCCACAAAAATTTCTTATGTTATCTTAGGAGTGTCTGAAAGCATAAAGAACAAACAACTTTCCAAAATATAGTAGAAGTTGGCTTGGAGACCCTAATTGGGTCAACAT